CAATGGGGGCTGGAGAGCAGACTCAGCAGCAGCACATATGTCACCAGGTCACTGTCTTCCCAATCCACTAAAGGCGCACTGCAATTTTGTTTGAACTATGAAAATCATTTCTCTGTTTACATCTATGTGTATGAATTAGCAATTACCATTTTCAACAGATCAGTGTTTCCTTTTGTCCTCCTTTTCTGGTGATGAATAAGTAGCCACTCTAGAAATATCATTAATCATCACTAATTTTATATATGTGTGTGGAAATGTCTTTGGAATTTCTGGCATCATTCAAACATCGTTCACTATCTGACATCTTCCGAAACATGCAGGCTGGATTCTATAACCAAAATTACTATGTTTCATATAGTCCAAAACCCCTCCTTTTCACTGATCAGCTATGAATCAAGCAGATGTGCATGGAAAGCATGAAATATTATTAATGTCAACATTGTTAGCCTTTGGTCTGATATGTAGAGTGATGCAGAGAGAGACATGTGTCAGACTTGCTTGGATGGTGGTGGCATACATTTGGGTTATTTAAGAGTGTGACTAAATAGCGGGGAAAATACAAATAGATCCACTGTGAAGTCACACCTAGGAAGCCAGTTTTCTCCAAGTTAATTTGCTTCACCCATGACACAAGAGTCAGCAAAAGGAGGGAATAAAATTGCTGTCCAAAAGCCTTGTTTACAGCTTGTTAAGTTAGTTCTGCTTGGCTCTGGCTGTCCAGATTTGCAGAAGGCATAGTTAGAGAAGAGCCACCTGAACAAGCTGGAAACAAGGAAAACAGATAACTTCCTCCACTCTTCACCCTACCTTTTGATCATCTGGCTGCCCCAGTGGTAGATTAGAAAATCTTTAAAAGGAAAGAGGGTGCGAAGGGAAGTGAGACAAGACCCAGGCATTAGATTTGTGGAGCAGAGGATTCAAATGGCAGCCAGTTTCCCCACTGCCTTACCTCTCACATTGCTCTCATCAGATGAATTAGCTTCAAATACAGTGGCTACAAACCCCTCCCATATTGGCTCTAACAATCAGACTGCCTGAAACAATGTGACTGCATTCTGTTCGAACAAAGTAGGAGTCCCAGCAGCAGAGGAGAAAAACTACAGAGTGGGGTGGGGTGGGGTGGAGAAACTCCAGGCTGATTCACATTGACTTGTGCGTCACATGGTCAATGGGAAATAACGTGAATCAAGCTGTCCAAGTCCTGGAATATTTTCCCCATCATTTGTCAACGCAGCCTAAGAGACAACGTTGCTGATAGTTCCTAATGGTTGAGGAATTTCAAAGTTCACAGTAACCAGAAATTTCCACCAGCTCCATTCCAAGAACAGGTCTCCAGGATCCACCGACATGACAGGACTGTGCATCCAATTATCTGATTATTGGTCTTGAGATTAATATTTCATATCTGATCCTGGACCGAAATCACAACATAATCAGATATAAACGATGTAAATGAAGCACTGGATAATTGGTAATTGGTTTGTTTTATTACCATAATTCAATGAAATTTGATATATGATGTGGGTCCTGTTTTGTTTGCTACTGATTAAACTGTCAAGATCATTCATTGTTTTTATTTGCTTCTACAGCCTGTTCATCACCACATCCGCCTACAGATTCCCAGAATAAAACATGGGAGTGTATGGCTGGCCTGTGATCTGGATCGTGGATCCCCTTACCCCAAAATTTCTCATCAAGGTGAGCTTTGTTCCAGCTATGGGGCCCTTGTGTTTAGAATACACAAAGCAGCAAGAGCCCAATGTATTTAAAGCCACAAGGAAAAAAGAATCACAAAACAACACACAATTGGAGATGTTCACACGGATAACATGCCTTTGGGGAAGAGAGATTTCACAGTTCAGGCGACTGAAGACTGTAAGTGTGGCAAGAGAAACAAAGGGATTCAAGTCAGACACTGCATTTTATCATAAAAATGACCCCATATGCCCATGAATGAAAGTATCAATGCAACGCTAAAATGACGTAAAGACAATTTTGCAGGCCTTTGGAGAAGTCACCTTTTTAGACTAAAATTCCCAGAATCCCCCAAACCACATAGACAGCAGTCATAAAGCCTGGGATAGCCTAGGAGTTGTTGTCTGAAAAAGCACAGCGAGTTCCCAAATTCTCCAAGATGTGCAGATATACATGAAAACACACAGGAGCTTTTGATTTGTCAAGCAAAGAAAGGAGCTGGTCTTTAGACACCACAATTATTTTCTAATGAGGGAGGGAAACTCCCATCTCAGGTCCTACTCTGAACAGATGGCAGTCCTAATCTTGTCTACAGGAGTTCCAAAGGCAACTTGCCCCTGCCCAGAAGCTCCACCCAGAAGGGAGGTGGGGCACTAGGGAGGGAGATTGTGCAAGAACCAGTTATCACCATGGTCAGGTAGATAATCAGCTTTATCTCTTCCACCCACCTCATCTCTGGGTGGAGAAGAAGAGAACAAAGTTGGAGGCAGACAGAGATATGAGAGCCGGATGAGTTTCTTCCATCACTCTCTATGCTGAAATGATTTGCAATCAGTGCAAGTCAGTTTACAAGCCAAAATAAAATAAAAATATGAAGTCCCATGCCCTAGCTTAGTGACTTTCCTTTTGGGACTGCAACAGCACCCAAACCCCTCAGCCCCCATAGCCACCAGGGTGGCCTCGTTGGCTGGGAATTGCATGATAGTACAGTACCTTCCTAGTACAGTAGGATCCCCTTATCTGTGGAACCAGGTATCCACTGATTCACTTATCCACAGTCTGAAACTATTAAAAGTATTAAAGGAAAAATGCTCCCCAAATATAAATTTTTAACAGTGAAGTTAGAAGAACCATCTACAACAGGGATCCAGAGACTATGTTATGTATAACCTTCGCTGTTAAAAAGGTAGCTAAGCTGGCCCTTCTCAACAGAGTTCCAGATCTGAGCAATGTCCTCTGAAAAGACTCTTTCCTCTATTCCACCAACATTTTCTTTGAACCTGAAACCAAAGACTCTCTGGTGAGGATCCTGAAGTCAAAGCAGGTTCATAAAGGAAAACACTGCCTTTCCACAATGTGATCCAGAGTCTCGTAAGCTTCATGCACCCTAACTGGTCCTTCATATTGTATCTTGGAATTGACTTGTCGTTAACAACACTGCTCAAGCGTTCTTTCTAGCCCCAAATGCAGTGGCAGAAGCATCGACTGGCTGAGATCTCCTTACCCGTTTTTCAAGTCAGTCTGATGTACTTTGTGCCATTCCCGAGTGAAACCAGGATAAATTATGCAAAATTGTAAAAAAATTTCAGCATGAATTATGCAAAGTATCTGGGAAATTCTGCAATGCAAATGGGCTTGAGCGACATAATTTATTCAGGGCACAACATTCCGAACTTTTCTCAACATGGAATTTGGAGGGTGGGGGGTTGTCTGGATGCTTTGCAGAAAAGAAGCATGTTCGTGTTCCACTTGCTCGTTCAGAGCGGCACATGCGTCTTGTGGTTTGCAGTCCCAGAGGCTGGGATCCGAGATGCAAGTTGGCCATAGGTGGCCCTTTCTTGAAACAGTAAACAGACAACAGCAGCACGGCCAGGTAAGCTGGTGGCTCTGATGTGAGCGGTGTTGAATCCGCACTGCATTTTAGACTGACCTTTACAGGATTTATTCAAGATGCGAAACCAATATGGAGCAATAGGGTTCGGCACCTTAGAGAGCTCTTATAAGCTGAATTAAAGCCCACGGTGGATTTTCTGCCCCACTGTGATCAGCCACCTCTGAACAGCATCCTCAATTTTAGAGCATTTTTCTTGAAAACTCCATCACAAATAAGATAGATAGATAGATAGATAGATAGATAGATAGATAGATAGATAGACAGATAGACAGATAGACGGACAGACGGACGGACGGACGGACGGACGGACGGACGGAATGAATGAATGAATGAATGAATGAATGAATGAATGAATGAATGAATGACACTTATCTCTAATGAATGAATGAATGAATGAATTTTGGATACCAAGAGGTGCTAATGGATTAATCTCTTAAGAAGAGTGACACTTATCTCTTTTTCAGTTTTGTCTTATCTCTCCAGAGGGGAAAAAACATAAGTGTAACAAATACTATTTCGTATCACATGAATGAATGAATGAATGAATGACACTTATCTCTTTTTCAATTTTGTCTTATCTCTCCACAGGGGAAAAAACATAAATGTAACAAATACTATTTCGTATCATAGAGATAACTTTCTTTTTGTCTTTCAGTAACATGCCAAAGCCAAAATGTTTGGTAATTCTACCCTGTTCATATAATTTTTATTCTCCTCTCTGGAAGGAAGTGCAGTAATGGGTCTTAATTCTGGAGTTACAATTTGCTGATTAGATATCAAGGGCCTCCCAAGATGGTGACGGCTATGCGGGAAACGTCTACCTAAATATTGTGCCAGCTAAGCTCTTTGGACTGCCACTATCATACTCTCACTCTCTCTCACTCTCCTTTCATAAGAATCAACTCTACAGAAGAAACCACACAAAGTACTAGTTTGAGAAAATTAAAGAAACCAACTCTTTGTAATTTTAGCCACTTTCTAAACATTCAAACTCTCTTCCATAGAGTGATATGTTTGCTTTTAGTAGCACATGTGCTCAATTTATGGTGCTCCAGAAAAGATTAGCACAGTCCCTATGCTCAGAGGATATACAGAATCTCAAAGTCTGTCTGTCTGTCATTTCAATGTTTTGTTTATATTTATTTGCTTTAAGTAGCAATTGAATGTTTATATGTGAAGGCAGGATGTTATATTCAGTCGGAATCCTAGTATGAAATACCACATGTGTAAGATAAATTGTGGAAGTTTATGGTGGACAAACCCAAGAGGAGTCTGGACATTAGCAACCAAGAAAATATAACAGCCCTGGTCTTTTCATTTCCCATTGACCAGAGATTTCTGGACTAGATCAATGCGGACTTCGTCCAGCAAGGCAAATTTCTTTTACACACTTTGGAGACAATGCTTCGGTGCTCCCAACATATTAGAAAAAAATAGCTTTATTGCAAGCAACATGCAGGCCAGACACTGTGGGTGGTGGGGATGGGATTTTCAGATTTCATCAATTACAAATCTCGTAATTTCCTGCTCTAGAGGTTCTACCTGACTTACACACCTTACAGCACCTAAATGTGGCTTACCTGGGAGAAAAGGCACAACTGGAAGGCTTTGAGTCTTAGCTAGGCCTCCTGTACCTGCTCCGGTGCTACCTGGGAGTTTTCTTTCTGAACAGAAAGCTAGAAAGCTGCAATGATTCGAGGAAAAAGTGAGCCAGTGGGGACGGTCCAGACATAGTTGGAATTTGAAGAGACCCACTGAGATCAAAAAACCTAAATTAGTCATGACTAAGCTAAGGATTATACATTGAGCGCATTTTTAGAAGTAATTCTTTAAGCAGGGAAGGATGCATGTTTGTCAACATACATGATTTTCTCTGTTCCTACATCTTGCATTTGAATAGGTCTAGTTTTGTGATTGGCCAGTGAAAGGTGAACATAGGTTTAATTATCAGGTCTGATTGCTGTGGTGTTGATTCTTGAGGAAGAGCTGTTGTGGGAGGGGAAATGAATTAATCTTATCAGCGGGAATATGAATGCCCCTTAACCATCTTGTTGGTTCATCACAAGAATATTTCTGACAAATTTTGATTCAACATTACTTAAGTTGCCTTCTTTACTCCTGCACTTCCAACTCTGCTGATTTATTAATGCTTTGTTCCACTTTGTATTCTTCTACCTCCATAACTCTGCTACATGTAGACTGACTCAAGCAACAGGAAGATCACAAAGCCTTCAACAAAGCCAAAGAACTATGTGAATTATTAATCAATTGTAATTAACATGTGACTCAAGTAAGACGAGAACTAACATGTGCATTCAGATACAAAAACCGAGAGGGCCACAAAGATGAAAATAGGACAACACTGCATTCTAAGATAGAACTAGGAATACATTTCTATGCCACATAATCCTGTTACGTTTCCAGATAATGCTTTCTCCTTCTTCTTTTTAAAAAGATCATCTTGACCTCAGAACAACACAACAAATTTGCCTGGATGATCAGTACTCATAACAACTCTTGTTCAATTTGTCCTCATTCTCCCCCTCACCCTGGATGCTCTATTCACTTTCGGCTAAAATTAGACACAGCAAGCAATATTCTATCACTTTTCCTTTTGTGCATCTAAAAATATTATTTTGCTAGCTCCCCTTTGCTCCTCTGAATTTATTTTAAAAATGAAGTGGTCAGAAGGCAATGGGGTGGAAGAGGTATCTTGAAGGCAGAGGTGGGCAGAGGATACCCCTCCAAATCTCATTGGCCTGAGTGATGGAACAGCGTTGCCCACAATACGGGGGAGGCTGCAATAAAGTGACTGTGTGGTGGATGGTTGTTCCCTTGTTTGTTTGTTTGTTTGTTTGTTTGTTTGTTTGTTTGTTTGTTTGTTTGGTTGGTTGGTTGGTTGGTTGGTTAGCCTTCCTAAGTGATAGGAATTGTACATATTTTGCAATGCACTATTCTGGGACGTTTGTGTCAAGATAAAAACTCAATAACAGATGACAAATAAAACAGGTAAACAAACACAAAACACAGAGAACTCTAAGAGACATAAATGGCAAGATAAAAAACACAACCAGCAACCATCAAAATACTATGAAAAATAACAACATCTCAAAGAGATGCTTGATCAACCAACAAGAGGAATAAGGGGCAGCTTGTAGACTGGATCAAGGAGGCACCTCTCACATACCCCAAATTTCAAAGGGTGCCCCCTCTGTCCCAGCCATGGAGCATAAGCATTGTAATCATCTCCTTATATTCGCCTGGGGTGTGCGGAAGGAAACCGAAATCTTCAGGCCATCTGCAAGCATTCAGGCATAGTTAACTATCTCTGCTCCCTTAGAAATTTATGTAGCAGTTTGGGGTCTCAAATTGCTCACCCAAATGGCTGTATAATTAAGCTTCATTTTATCTTAAATATACAGCAGGATTTGGGGTTTTCTTTCCCTCCAATTTTAGCTCCTTTGAAGGAATAGGGCGGTTGCTCCCCAGAGCACAGATTAGCAGTTTGAAAAGTATACACAGGCACATTCCTGGCTGACCAACGTCACAGATGCCAGCTCTTGGAAGTTACCAAAATATAAACCTCTGAGAGAAATGCCATCTGCTTGCAACGTGGCAGGTCTGCCTTTTTTTAAAAATTCCCTTCCGACACAGAGCCGTGCCTCTGTTGAGGTGGTTTGTCCTGGGTCAGCAAATTTATCTGCACTTGATTTGCAGAAATTTTTAAAATCTGATGCAAAAAGTTGAGGGCAACTTCGTAGCACTTGATACTGAAACAACTTGTTTAATTGCATTTAAGGCCTACCCCTCCCAGGGACTGTACAGTTTCTTCTTTCAGTGACAAGTTCCAGAACTAGCCATTCTTTCTGTGGAAAATGGAACTTGTTGAAGGCCAGCCTTCCCCAAATCCAACAGGTAACATGGAAGGTGTTTATCCTCCATTGGATTCCCTTCCATGACAGCCCTGTGTAACATCGGTTCATGTATTTCACCTGTCGATCACCCAGAACTTTCTCACATATAAGCATGTTTCCAGGCAGCCTTTGAACTCAGATCTGCATCAAGACATCTGGAGAAGCGTGCTGTTTAAACTCTAGGACATACGAATTACACTTGAGCAAATCCACAGTGAATCTGGATAAACTCTGGATGCTTGTTAGTGAGCAGACACGATTGAACTATGCTAAGAATGAGACAGGATTACCTCTAGTGATTGATGTTGTCCACTCAAGTTATTACAAACTCCTGGGCTAGTGGAAGCTACCCAAACAGCTTGTAATTGTGGACACAAAAGTTTTCAGTAGAATTGACAACCAAAGAAGTGGATGGAGTTTGTGTGCGAGAGGCATAAAAGCATTTGTAGGCATGTGAAGTGGTCTTCTCACGAGCCTTACCCTTGCTTCCTGAAGGTAGGGGAGCAGGTCAGAAGGAAGACTTGAACATTCATTCCTGTTTTACCCTTGCTTCCTGAAGGTAGGGGAGCAGCCCAGTAGAAGGTCAGAAGGAAGACTTCAACATTCATTCCTGTTACTCCTTTTCAAAACTGAGCATCCAGAGATGTTCGCCTCTGAATGGGGAGATTCTGCCTGGCTATCAGGGCTAGCCGTCTCTGATAGAACTCATCATCCATTCAGAAGGGCAAGAGGCAGTAATAGTAATCAGCAGACATAATGGCAGCAAATTTCATATGGGATTGTGCCTAATATCCAACTTCTGGGAAAGTTGTGTCTTGGACTACAACTTCCAGAATCCTGAGATAGCGTGAACAGTGACTGGACAGGATTCTGGGAACTCCATCCTGAGACCTGGATCCAACTGTGGCCTAATGTTAATCTATTCCCTGGTTGACAAGCAATTACCATTTTCCCAGGAGGCTTCCTTATATAATTTGCGAAGAATGCAAGCAGTTTGCCCAGAGAGGAAGTAGCACAAAGGACCGCTTGGCTGGTTCCCTGGGCACAGCTGAACACAAATACACCCAATTTGAGCCTGCCTGACCCCTGCTTGGCCAAGAGGCAAGATTGGGCATGCCCAGCTCCCTGAGTGGGGCTGCCAGGGGCCAGAACTGTTCGCCACATGGCTGCCAGCTTAAAAACCTAACCTCCTCCCACCTCGCCAGTCTTGCGTTTCTGCATCATTACACCAGGGGGTGAGTGGGGCTGCCAGGGGCCAGAACTGTTTGCCACATGGCTGCCAGCTTAAAAACCTTACCTCCTCCCACCTCACCAGTCTTGCGTTTCTGCATCATTATACCGGGGGGACCGGGTAGGTGGGGCTCGTCAGCCTTGGAAGGCAGCCCATCTAGGAGAAGGAAAACTCCGATTCCAAACCTCCACTGCCTTGTGGCTATATCCACTGATGGAAGAGGCTTCAGGAGTAAACCTCAAGGCAAAATCCGGAGCCGGAGTCCCGGAGGCAGTTCGTGTCGTTCTGCCAACTCCTGCGATGTCACTGGAACCAGTTGTATTGGCTCTTGCCTTTCCATTGGACTATTTCAGGGACATGGAGAGGGGGGATCTGCTGCTTGGGTAACAGCCTATCCTCCATATTATTCTACCCAGGCTTGGTGCTTTGGAGAAGACACTCATACAGAGTGCGTTATCATGGTCTTTCGAGACTGAAGGATGCCTAAGAAGATACTGGGGTGGGGTGGGGGGTCTACCACCATGGCACCGTTTGTAGGTTTGTTTCCTTTCTATACCACCCCTCTGTCCCCAAATGGTCACTCTGGACGGTTCACGGCAGTGATCGTAACATAAAATAACATGAACATAATTAAAAGTGAAGTTAAGATTACGTTGACACTACATTTAAAGACAGGCCGCCATTAAAAATGACAGGCTGATACTCCCAGTGGCTCTTCAGATGGGATGTGTATTGAAAAGTCTGCTGAAATAAGAAGGTTTTGAGGGGTTTCTCAGAGGTCACCAGGGAGGGGGCCAGGTGAATTTCAGATGGGAGTCCATTCCAGAGTTGAGGCGTGACCACCGAGAAGACGGAGGTCCTTGTTTTCTCAATCCGGGCCTCCCTCGGGGTAAACGCCCTCAGCCATCCAGCCTAGGATGTAGAGGTAGGAACGGGCTGTCCCTTTTGGAAGCAGGCATTCCGTTATGTACTGAGGTCAACAAAGCAGCTTTCTGATGGTATCACAAAAAAGATGCTTTTCATCTGTGGTCCCAATTTAGGGAAAGAGGCTACATCTGTGAGGTGGTGAGCGCTCCAACACTTAGGAGCATTCAAAAAAAAAGAAAAACCCTCAGATCTGCTTTGGCTTGTATTTGAGCAGAGGGTTGGACTTGATGGCCTTGTAGGCCCCTTCCAAATCCATAATTCTGCGATTCCATGATTCTATGGTGGCATTGCCCTTTTATTTCTCTCTATGGCACTCTCTGTCTCTTTATTTCCAGTTTGCTTCCATCATATAAGCTCCTACATAAAGTTGTGCCTTTTTAAATAAATGCAATTTTTCACCCAGTGTGCCTTCTCCATGTATATCCATGGCTGGCCGCTCACTGTTTAGCTGTTGATACACAGCAATGATTGAATTCTTAAAGACCATTTTGTCTGCAAATAGCCACTTTCGATGCCAAAGACAACAGCTAAAAAAAGAAACGGCCACCGTCTACCTGCTTAAGGTTACAATCAAAACTGTCACTCACGTTGCTATGGAAACCAGAGTCGGTTTCTTCAGTCTACATATCACAGAAACACAGACATACTTTGAAGGAAAAAAGAAAAATTATGCACACACACGTACAAACCCAGAGTTTTAACCAGGTGGATAATGGTGCTAGTTAACTCCCTGTGGCTGTGACAGCGTGTCAACATAGCGTAAAGCTCGGGTGGCCGGGCTATTCATGGCAGTGTTTTGCTGTCCTCCATGATTCACAAGGAAGCCATCAAGCTGAGTAGGAGAAAAGGCAATCTGCGGATCTGTGGGTGGCAGAGGAGAAGATCAGAATCCCTCAGGGGGAAAGGCCCACTCGTTTGGATCCATGGTAAAAGGAACATGAGCTCAGGGCAATTCAGTGTCAAAGCAAGGAAATCCAGCTGTGCTGGTGGAGAAGCTCAGGATCTCAAGGGATCGCCCCCCCCTCCAAGGTCACTCGTCTCATTGTCTTGCAGCAAAGCACAATGTTCTGTGAGCTAAACATTGACCCACCTCATCCAGATCAGCTCCTTTGCCACCATCTATGGATGGAGTTGGGGTAGGTAAGGCGTTGCCTTCTCCTTCTGCCAGGAGTATTCTATTTTTGTTACTTTAATTTCTCTTTTTCATTTTTTTAAAGGAAAAAAAGACAAACATGGAATCCTTTTGCCTTATCCCACCCTCTTTCCTACAGAGATATAAGGGGAAATGAACAAGCAAGATGCTTGTTGTTTAGTCGTTTAGTCGTGTCTGACTCCTCGTGACCCCATGGACCACAGCACGCCTGGCCCTCCTGTCTTCCACTGCCTCTTGGAGTTGGGTCAAATTCATGTCAGTAGCTTCAATGACCCTGTCCATCCATCTTGTCCTCTGTCATCCCCTTCTCCTCTTGCCTTCTCGCTAACACCAGGGCAGGGTCTTTTCCAAGGAGTCTTCTCTTCTCATGAGATGGCCGAAGTATTGGAGCCTCAGCTTCAGGATCT